TGTGTGTGTGTGTGTGTGTGTGTGTGTGTGTGTGTGTTTATGTATGTATGTATGTATATTTGAATATATGTATATATATCTTGACTTGATTACTGACTGTTTGAATAGTATATGTATGAAGACGAGCAGTCAAAACCAGAATACCATCTGCTGTATTGGCCTGTTTATGGATTTCGACACAATTTGAGGAAACGAGACCTCTAAGCCTATAAAAACTACGCTACACCACATATATGAATGGCACACAGAGCTTGAGGACAGACTTGGGTAACTCACAAGAAAAGGATATCGCGCATATTCTGATGGATATTGATGAGAATTGTGATGAGGTCGAGGTCATATTGACCGAGAAAGAAGAAGACATGGAAGTAATGGAGGCCGACATTCAAAATCTAGCTGACGAGCTGAGGCGATACGAAAAGGTAAGTATAAGGGACACACTTGCAGGGTTTGTTGTTGAACTATTTTTCTACCGGCCTGAACTGTAGTATCCAAAAAAAAAACCCCCCTACCGCTGAGTTTCAACTATAACACAGCTTTGCTGTGTGAAGGCAAAGGGATAGGGTTTATGAATCCAGGGTTGGGGTTTATGTGAAAGGTGAAGAGTTAGAGGGTTTACGAATCCGAGTTGAATGGCGCTCGCAAGTAATAAGAAAAACACCACATCTGATCTTGTTGAAAGTATACTAGTAGTAGTTCAGCTAGTAGCTCCAATGACCACACGGGTGCGTTTTGTGTCCGTCCAAGTTAGGCTGGGGCTGTGTGTATTGACACATAAATGTATCCGCCCCAGCGCCCACGTTTGACTACACACATAGAATGACTAGCGACAGACCGGATTGTCTCGCACATACTTGCCCATAACCTCACATACGCCAGGTATAGTATACAAATACTTGCCCATAACCTCACATACGCCAGGTATAGTGTACAAATACTTGCCCATAACCTCACATACGCCAGGTATAGTGTACAAATACTTGCCCGTTACCTCACATACGCCAGATATAGTGTACACATACTTGCCTATAACCTCACATACGCCAGCTATAGTGTACAAATACTTGCCTATAACCTCACATACGCCACGTATAGTGTACAAATACTTGCCCATAATCTCACATACGCCAGGTACAGTGTGCCATGCTTAAGATTGACTCGAACTTAACTGTCGCTTGCATATACAGCAGAAAAGCAATACCGGAGTCAAATTGGTTCCCATTGTATTGGTGTAAGGCGGGCCGTCTGAAGGGAAGGGCGTTGTACATGGATGGGCCTCAGTACGCTCGCCTGAAAATATGTCCGAGATGTGCTCTTATACGTTTATCTGGCAACGCGTATACGTATATCTGGCAACGCGTCTAGGTGCAATTACGGTTATGGCACCGGCTGAAAGGCCTGCGAGAACAAGCACTATGACTTCGAGTACAAATGTATCGTAGGACAGAATGCTTGCGAATCCAATCGACAAGGGCGGTTGTCTTAAGTGTGTATTGACGACAACCACAGTGGTGTGCACACAACTATTGCATAGAAAGGAGACATATACTTCAAACATATAGAATACGGGTTCGTACGTTACACGTGTCATAGCCTCTATAATAAACACAATGCCACCGATACCCTCCTTAGTTCATATCAACTTTGGATCTCTTTTATTCTAAAGTATGATGTAGATGGATATATATAATGTATATGCTATCGCTCAAGTGTGCATGCTATTCCATTAGCTGCTGCTATTTTACTTAATTTTAATAAGTAGTTATGCAGCAAATATCCGCTATCACACACATGCGGAAGTGTCGATATCTAACATATGGGGTGGCTTGTGTACGACCAAGACATGAGATAGAGTATCTGAGATGTTCACTGTATGTCTACGCAGCCATCAATATGCGTCCTGTATTTTCTGAAAATGAGTAGTCCTCACAGGCAAACGCTTTGAGCAAACTTACTTATCCATATATATATATATTTGTGTGTGTGTGTGTGGTGTGTGTGTGTGTGTGTGTGTGTGTGTGTGTGTGTGTGTGTGTGTGTGTGTGTGTGTGTGTGTGTGTGTGTGTGTGTGTGTGTGTGTGTGTGTGTGTGTGTGTGTGTGTGTGTGTGTGTGTGTGTGTGTGTGTGTGTGTGTGTGCGTGTGTG